CTCAACATCACAGTTTTGTTATATTTACCTGCATTTGGACAAGAAAAAGACAACAGATTTTTGAACATTCCCAAGACCCATGTGATTTCTCAAACTCAAGAATATCTATACAAAATACATTTTCCCTATATAATGATATAAATAAAATAACTGAAAGATGTATGTCCATTTCAGACCCTGAATGGAAGTTAATGTGACAAGAAGAGAACAGCAAAGACTCATTAAGACATGGATGCTGAGTGGTGTACTCTGCTCAATAGCTAAATAATTCACTCTCACATAGCAACCTCCCCATCAAAATAATTCAAATTCTTGCCATTTTAAAACTACCTTCAAGGATGTTCATGAATTGTTGAAATCTATCATGTTAAATTTCCTGTAAGACTTGTGGAGAAGGAATATTTTATTTTCTAGCAATGCAAATTCAAGGAGCTCTGATCCTCATCATCTACAAAGATTTTATTTAAACTTGTTTATTTTGTTAGAAAGTTTCATTCTCAGAGGAAAATAACTGTCATCATTTTAATGTTCAGAACAGTGAATACTGCTTTAAATTTGTTTGCAGCATCAAAATAACCTGGGAACCAAACTCAAAATACAAATCCCCAGGCTCCCACAATAGAGTTAATGAATTTGAATCTCTGGGAGCAGGGCCCCAGAACCTGTATTTTTACTAAACTCCTGGGATAGAAGTCCAATAAGGTCTTTGAGCTGTCATTTGACACCAATGAGACATACTCAACCTTTTCAGAAACTTGACAAAATTTAACCATTTATTATTTTTTAATAAATGTTATGTTAACTTTGGGATAATGCTATAAATTTTCATTATCAAATAAACCTTATAATGCTAATATTTCAATGTATTTAATTAATCCAATGTTATTTTCTAAAGTTCACTTTTCATATATATTCAAAATAAAAAAAATTTATATTTAAAAACATAAGCAGTTGACACTTTTAATACAATCAAGTGCCAACAAGTACCGTCAGCTTCCAAGCAGTGAAATACCAAAACCACCCCATTCTATCCACTAATTATGACCCAACTGCTATATGATCCTTCCATCTATTTCAGAATAATATACGAGTTGTACAAGGAATAATTGAAAGCTATTAATACAGAGGAAGAAATATGACTTGGCATTAGCTTAGGATACCTGTCGCTGAGCTACTTTATGCACTACCCTTTAGAGAAACATTGCTGTTAGCTCCCATCAAGTCAGCCTCCAACTCATGATGAACCCATGTATAACTGAATGAAATGCTGCCTGGTCCTGAATGATCCCCATGATTGGTTGCAAATCAGACCCTTGTGATCCATAGGGATTTTGCTGGCTTATTTTTGGAAGCAGATCTCCAGCCTTTCTTCCCACTCTGTCTTAGTCTGGAAGCTCCACTGAAACCTATTCAACTTCATAACAACACACAAGCTTCCACTGACAGACAGGTGGTGGCTGTGCATGACGTGCATTGGTCAGGAAATTGAACCCAAGTCTCCCACATGGAAGGTGAGAATTCTACCACTGAACCACCAATATCCCCATTAGAGAGATATTAAGCCTTATAAACTGCACATAAAAAAAAAAATTATCATCTCTTAAATAATCAGGAAGTCCTATGATTCCCATCCTGCTCTTTTGTTACACCTGACTTATACTTCTTCATGTTTTTTATTTCTTAACATTTCTCTCACTTTATATCTCATTCTCTTATCTCCAAAAATAACACCCTTGGGCTGGGGACTATGGTTGCGGGGGACATCTAGCTCAACTGGCATAACATAGTTTATAAAGAAAATGCTCTATAACCTACTTTGGTAAGTAGCATCTGGGGTCTTAAAAGCTTGTAAGCGGCCATCTAAGATACTCCACTGGTCCCATCCCATCTGGAGCAAGGGAGAATGAAGAAAACCAAAGACACAAAGAAAGATTAGTCCAAAGGAGTAATGGACCACAACTACCGTGGCCTCCAACAGACTGAGTCCAGCACAACTAGATGGTGCCCGGCTGCCACCATCGACTGCTCTGACAAGGATCACAACAGAGGGTTCTAGACAGAGTGGGAGAAAAACGTAGTACAAAATTCTAACTCACAAAAAAAGACCAGACTTACTGGTCTGACAGAGACTGGAGAAACCCCAAGAGTATGGCCCCCAGACACTGAGTATGGCCCCTGGACACCCTTTTAGCTCAGTACTGAAGTCACTCCTGAGGTTCATCCTTCAGCCGAAGATTAGACAGACTCATAAAACTAAATGAGACTAAATGGGCACCCCAGCCCAGGGGCGGGGATGAGAAGGCAGGAGGGGACAGGAAAGCTGGTAATAGGGAACTCAAGGTCGAGAAGGGGAGAGTGTTGACATGTTGTGGTGTTGGCAACCTATGTCACAAAACAATATGTGTATTAATTGTTCAATGAGACAGTTATCTGCTCTGTAAACCTTCATCTAAACCACAATTAAAAAAAAAAAAAAACCTTGAAAGGAGTAGGTAATAACAGGATGCTAAGAAGTGTAGTCAGAGAAAGGAACTAAGGAGCTTAAGAGAATTTTGGGTGATAATAAGAACCAAAGAATGACGATGATGGTGACTGGTTAAGTGGAAATGACGTAAGACATCAAGAGATACTAAGACCATAGTATTAGAGTTTTCAAAGACGATAGCAGGGAAAGGGGTAGAGAAAAATTTGTACAGTAGTTGATGCTAAAACAATCCATAAAAAGTGAGAAATGATCTTATTGGTCAAAGATTATGAGAAACAGGTGCTGTAAGGGAGAGACTATGAAATAGTGAATGGTTTACACTAGCTTTCCAATACAGTAACCACTAGACATCTGGGGCTATTGAGCACTTGAAATGTGCTTAGCCTGTACTAAGATGTCTATAAAAATATAAAATGCATACCAGACTTCAAAGACTTAGTAAAAAAAAAAGTAAAACACCTCAATAATTTTTATATTAATTACATGTTGAAATAACATGACTAAAATTAATTCCACCTGTTTAAAAAAAAACTCCCTCAACTTTGGTTGACATCATTATGAGATACCTGTGCAGCAAATTGAATTAGTACTGTGCAGCTTTTCAAGATTAGCCAAAGTTGTTATAAATTATCAATAAGGTATTAAGTTCAAGTAATCTCTATCTATCTGAAAAGAACGCATATCAATGAGAAAACCTTATATGTTTATGTTGAATTTAATTAAGATGAGTTTATTTGGGACTTTCCAAAGTAAATAATCTCTCATCAAATAAGAATGTAATCTCTAATCAAATAAGAATGATGCCTAGGATGGAGGGAAAAATACTAACTCTTAAGAGCTAATAAATCTCAAGAGCCATTCAGTAAACAGTTGAACTGAAAGCAAAAAAGTAAATAGTAATCACCTTTAACAAAAACTTTGAGACAAGTTTTGTTTTGAAAGGAAAGCTACTTTTAAAAAACAATTAAATTCTATTCACTATCATAAAATGTCATCCTGAGATAATAAATATATCTGGTAAAATAATGTGAAATTACACACAAACCAAATATTTTAGTTTTCAAATACAAGTATAATATCATAATAAGAAAAATATTTCAGTCCATTTATTTCATAGATGGCTATTTTTTACTGTGAAGTAGAATTTTAAATACACATTTTTCAAGTAGTAAAAATACAAATAGAAAGCTAAAGAAATCCTTTATAAATTAACATAATTCAATTCAGTATAAATAACGTTAAGCTTTCTCACTCATTCGTTTAAACTTTAAAATGTAACAATAAGTGAAACACATTTTGGAATACAATAATCTGGAACCAGTTAAATCAAAACTCATTAATAATAGCAACAAGCTTGCTAGGAAGGTTTGAGAAAAGAACTTTAATTTGTTATATTTTATTTGATTTTTTAATAAAGATTTATATGAATAAAGATAAAATACACTATATATAAGCAGAAGCTACCAGTAAATCAATGTGTCACGTATAAAATAAATGATTATACTTTAATTATTTTTAAAATTTCAAAAAATATTTCCACTATCTATATGTAGTTAAGATTTTAAAGTTTAAAAACATTAAGATTAAGGTTTTATAATCTATTTTTAAAAAGTATAAAGTTACTAAATCACAAAATAAGATAAAAATCGAGTTCTATGAATAAATATTTTAAAATTAAGTACTCTAGGATCATAATACTGACAATACTAATTATCTTTTCTAGTCTTGGCAGTTATGTTGCATACTGTTGGGGTGACTGATGGGATAATTTCACTTCATTTTCTCTCAGTTTATTCTGGACCATATAAGAGAAGAATATTAAAATAATTAACACCTCTAAACAAAGTACTTGATAAAGTTTTTAGTTAAAAAAAACGCTAAAAAGAAAAAATCTCAATTACTAACTAATGCACTCATTCTAGAGCAAAGAACTAAACCTCCACTGGCTAAGGAAAACTTGAAAAAGAATCACTGGTGTTTAAAAGTAAGTCACTCAGTATTAATATTACCATTTTAGGACTTTTGCATATTAAGAGCATACATTTCCACAGTCTTTTATTAGCATTTTGAGCTAGCATTATTTTAATTATCAAAGATATGTGTCTATATATTTGTAGATCATTAAATGTTTTAGTTCTCTAACAAAGTTTCACCAGCTGAAATCAAAGCAGACAAAAATAGGTAAAAATGTACAAGAAAACAAATTATTTCAATTCTTTATATCTATAGACATTTTGATTAATATATTAATAATGGCCTTATATTCAAAAGAACACAGAAGTATTTCAATTAATATTTAATCACAAATATGAATCTTTACCAAATAGTAAATACTATATATCACTCTTAACTGATAAAAGTATAAAAACAGACATTACTAACCCACTTTTCCACTTGAGCAGTTAATAAATTTTAATATAGTTTATACAGGTCTTACATAATTTATAAATTGTACACAACTTATAATAAGGCTACAATTATAAATAATAAAAAGCATATTCTTTGCCTTGATCACCTGATTTTTTGTTGTTATTTATAAAATTAATCACAGTTAGCAGGGTAGAAATTGCTTTGAGCTTCATGAATGACATCCAAGAGATGGGAAAGGATTAGTTCTCAGTTGCTGCCAGTTATAGCGCCAGGTGGCTTTTTCTGCAGTGAAGGTGTTACCGATAATCCCATTACACTGGTACTAAATCTTGCAGACATCAAAATTATCACCAAGGTTCCTTTTCATCCCATCCTTTCCAAATGACTGGAAGTCGCTTCACCTGAAAGAAGTCAAATCCACATGCAGCTGCTGTTTGAGCAGGCAGCAAACTCCCTGAGAATGCCAGTCGTGACTCAATTTTACTGTGCTGGTGGGCCCCTATTCCCTGTCCAATAATACATCTGTTAAAAAATCCTACAGCTACAAATCAAGTTTAATCCTTCCAGGGACCTCATGTTGGTCTTGTCTTCCAAAAAGGCAGCAGGTTCTGCTGTCTATCTCTGCTAGCGTCTGGGGAATACCCTTTAAATCCCAGCCCTACTTAGAAGAATAAGCTAAGGATCACAAAACATGACCTCAAAAACCCTGATATGACTATATTCTGACCCAGAGGCATTCATTCTAGGTGAAGATTAGAACTTTGCATAATAAGATTACACAGCAAGTGAATGATATCAAGGGACTATCCATATGCAGCCGCCTGGTTTTCCACAGACAGACTGTGCTCTGCAATATGCAGTGCAGACGAAAAAGAGCTTGGTCTCTCTAGCTGAAATAAAATAGATTCACATAAATTAGTTGGCCATTTCCAGATTCCTAAATCCCCTATTACATCTTTTATTGACAGCTCCTGTGAGGATCGCACAAATGTTATTCCTTTTTATTCCGTGCTTCTATAACAATCATGCTCTGTACCTGAAATGTACATAGATTATGTCTAGAAATTAACATCTTGTTTGCTGTAATCTTGGATTACAATTGACTGTGTACATAATACAATTAGGAAATCAATGAATGGATTTATGATATCCAAGAAACCAGACTTATTGTTTAAAGAATAGTTTAACATTTTGTGCCAACACTTTAAATGCAGAAGTCACAGGAAGAAGTCGGTAAAAATTTCAGTGAGTAAGAGAATACAATAGGCATCAGATAATATTTACATAAAAGTTAGCTTACATAAAAGTAAGGTCATTTCCCTCAAAGTTTAGAAAATGCAAAAAATTCAGAGACCTCACGAACATAAGATTTTCTCTCCAAACCATACTTTGGCAAGGAGGACAATTACATATGAGAAGAAGGTGTGTTTCTATTTTTTATAAAGTACCAAACCACCATGATCATTTTATAACTATATTTTAAAATATTTGAATCAATTCAAATCAATTGTGATCCAAGGTTTAAAAAGCACTTATCAAATGAAGTAATCTCTCTTCTTCACATTGGAATACATACAGAACATTTTAAATCATACAATCATAGAGATATTTAGAAAATAATACTTTATATTCAGGTTTTTTTCCCCCAGATGTTTATAGCTATACTAGCTCTAAGCAAACTTAAGCATGTGAATATTCTTTGGTTACCTTGACTAGGATGTTTCTAGAAAAATAATGAGGAATGCAAAAAACATATTTTGTTATAATATTTATATGTAACACTTTAGAGCTTCACTGTTTAATATGGTAGCTACTTGGCACACGTGGCCACTGAGCACTAAAAATGTGGTTTAGTCCAAATTGAGACGTGCTGTAAGTGTAAAATGCACACTGGATTTTGAAGACTTAGAACAAAGTAAAATATTCTATTAATAATTTTATATGGATTAATGTAGAAATGATACTATTTTGCATATATTGCATTAAAATATGTATGTGACTCACATATTTCTACTGCACAGCACTACTTTAGCAGGTTATATATTTTCAATAATACGTTGCTAAGCTAAGTGAATTTGTACAACAAATAAAAATACAGAGCAATATTACTGAAGATCAAACATTCCAGTGTCAAATCTGATAGATGAGCTTAGTAAAGAAAGTATAAAATACAGTTCTTGGTCTCTATTTCATATTTCTAGCTTAAGGGTAGTGGTGGTGGGAAGAAGGGACCTATCAAATTGCTGACTACTGCATACCAAAAAAAAAAAAAAAGTTGCTTTACAGTGACAAAAACATTTTAGTTCAGTAAATGTTTTTTAAGTTGTTTTTTTTTTTTTAAATCACATCTTGGGCAAATGCATAAAAGACTAATGAAGTCTGTGTATTACCACTCATTGAGCTCAACAGCTAGCAACTTTAGAAAACATGTTTGGATCTAGAAAGGTCCATGATTTTTTTCTACAGTGCTATATAACTGTTGACATTCAAATTCATAAAATAAGTGATAAATAATAACTACAGAGATTTGAGGCATTCAGTATATTTTGGAACTTTTAGCAAAATAAAAAAGATCAATTTTACAGCACAAATTTTTACAGAGCTGCTCTTCTATTAGTCTTTTCTTCTTATCTCTCAAAGAAGGTAAAAAAAAAAAAAGCAAAAATAGTTAATGTGTTACAGAAGTAAGTAAAGCTGCACATAGTTAAAATATAAATATATACTAATTTAATTCAAGAAATTTATTATGACTTATTTAGGACTGCCAAACAAAATTGATATTATACAATTAAAATACAAAGTTTATCTTTGTCACACATTAGAATATTATTTCAATATAAACAATATTATTTAAAGTATTAACTCATTTTAAAGCTGCTTTGTCAAAATTATTCCTTTACAATACTAATCCAAAATAGTAAGACTAAAGATAAAATATGAGTATCAGTAAATAAGATGGATAAAATTTAAATAAATTCTTTAGCTATGCCGCTTTTTCCTAGATTTAAAAATTATATAAATTCTTTTCTGGTTACCAGTTTGTCACAGACACACACACATGCACGCATGCACACACACACCCCAAATTAAAGCAAACAAAATAATAACAGCAAAAAAAACTTTCTAACCATCAATAAGTGAGTGCAATGATATCCAGTCTAAGTTAATCCCTAGACATCCAAATTCATGAATAAAAATTCATCTGTTTTAAATACACTGAGCCTATTAAGCAAGAACAAAAGCATATGCACAAAAGAGCTTTTAATATATTTCAAAGCCCACAAGAGCCATGGTCTCATTAAAATTATAAATTACACAAACATGGAATGAAGATTCAAACTGCAGTGCAGCTAAGCAGATTACAGAAAACCCCGCGTTCCATATGATAACACACCATGGCCCTCCCAGATGGGGGCTTGGAACAAAAAGGCCATCACCACAGCTAGGGAAAACCTCCTTGTGATCTCTGGTTTCTGTTCAGCAGATGACAGCCAAATAATATGTTGATTATTCTGTTTGTGCTGCTAAGCTTGTAAGATGGAATAAAAGCGATATGATCTATTGTGAACTCAATGCTAATGTGTTGCTCCACTCATAAATAATATACTGAATTTATTTTGAAACTATCTTTTATCTGAATTTCAGTTTTTAAATGCATGAATTAAAATAAAAGCCAGGATAAAAATAATATTTAATTTGATGCTTTAAACTAAAAAATGAAGTTGACAAGTGAAAAATATCTAAGTGCTTAGTGAAGAGTTAAGAACAGTCACCTTCAACTTCAGCACAGTGATCAGAGACAAAACGCATTTTAAAATAGGCAATTACTCTCAATAAGAAATATAAATGTAAAATTAATAATACAATAATCACCAAGTTAATAATATACATTATTGATGGGAAAAAAACTAAAATACCAGGGTATTAAAAACACTTTCCTACAAGGTGAAAATAGTAGCACATAATCCTAACATATAGCAAAAACTTTACTAAACACTAAAATGTATAATTAAAGACATATAAATGTTGGTAACTCACACACAAATGGATGACAACAAGAAATTCTACTAAAAATCAAAATAATTTTAAGAAAGTTTATAAAAATAATTTCCAAATATATTATAATAGCCAATATTTTATATTACTTTGGTGACAAAACTTAAAACTAATTTTCCCCCAATTAATAAAAGTATATATTTAAATATCCTAAGATTTAACAGAGTGAACTATGCCCAAATGAGGTAACTGGGATTGTGTCTGTGAATACTTTATAAAATTTTATTTTTCATGGATAAACATTTCATGAATACTAATATGGTTAAAAATACTAAAAATCATCACATTTATTTTCCCACTTGGGAAATTTCTCCACAAATAATCTAGTAGTCTCCTTAGAAACAACAAGAAGTACATATAAGGTTACAGGAAAAGTACACATGGATAAACATAGTCTTCTTAAGAGGGTATTTGTATAAAGTACATAATTACAGTCATTAACCTAAGTCACCTCTTTTTTCTTTACCTCCAGATATAGATTCTTGAGTCCAAAAATCATAGCTAAATTGTCTAACATGAAAAGACAGTCTAAGACTGCACATCAAAAGGTAAAACACTAACACCTTTAGAGAAAAACATAAAACATTATCATCCTCGGAGTACGCAAATATTTCTTAAGCAAGACAAAAAGAACTAAACATAAATGAGGAATTAGCCTATTTCAAACTCACAAAATTCTATTCATCAAAAGCATGATTAAGAGAGTAAAAAGACAACCCTAAGAATGGGAGAAATATTTGTAATACCTGAAAACGATAAAAGCAGCCCTAGTGGCACAATGGGTAAGTGCTCCACTGCCAACCCAAAGTTCAGCAGTTCAAATCAACCGTAGGATCTGTGGGAGAAAAGACTCAACGATCTGCTCCTGAAAAGATTTCAACCTAGGAAACCCTATAGGGCACTTTGTCCTATAGGGTCACTAAGAGTAGGAATTGACTCAATGGCACACAACATAAACAAAAAAGGACTCATAAATACATAAAACAATTCCTATAAATCAGTAAGAAAAAGACATACATGTGCAAAACACGTAGAAAGGCTCTTCACAAAAGACACTATCAATATGAATGTTGTTACTGTTGTTAGGTGCCACGCAGTCAGCTCTGACTCAGCAACCCCATGTACAACAAAACAGTACCCGATCCTGTTTGATCTTCACAACTGTTGATATACTTGAGCCCATTCTGCAGCCACTGTGTCAAACTATCTCGTTAAGTGTCTTCCTCTTATTTGCTGACTCTCTACTTTACCAAGCATGATGTCCTCCAGGGACTGGTCCCTCCTGATAAAATGTCCAAAGTTGTGACGATTTTTGTTTCCTGCCCCTTTCTTCTTCATATAGTCCAGCTTCTTGGATTATTTGCTCATCATACAGACTGAATAAGTATGGCGAAAGGATACAATCCTAAGGCACATCTTTTCTGATTTTAAACCACTCAGTACACCCTTGTTCTGTACGAATGACTGCCTTTTGGCCTATGTACAGGTTTCCCATGAGTACAATTAAGAGTTCTGGAATTCCCATTCTTTGCAATGTTATCCAAAATTTGTTAGGATCCACACAGTCGAATGCCTTTGTACAGTCAATAAAACACAGGTAAACATCTTTCTGGTATTCTCTGCTTTCAGCCAAGATCCATCTGACATCAGCAATGATATTCCTCATTCCACGTCCTCTTGCAGTTCCCTGTCAATGTACTGTTGCAACCATTTTTTACTTATCTACAGCAAAATTTTACTTGCATGTGATGTTAATGATATTGTTCGATAATTCCTGCATTCTGTTGGCTCACCTTTCTTTGGAATGGACACAAATATGGATCTCTTCCAGTCAGCTGGTCAAGTAGTGGTCTTCCAAATTTCTTGGCATGGACGAGTCAGAGATTCCAGCATTGCATCCGTTTGTTGGAACATCTCAGTTGGTATTCCCTCAATTCCTGGAGTCTTGGATTTTGCCAATGCCTTCAGTGCAGCTTGGACTTCTTCCTTCAGTACCATCAGACCTTGATCATAGGCTGTTGTTGTTATTGCTGTTGGGTGCCATCAAGTTACTTGCAACTCATAGTGACTCTATGTACAACAGAACAAAAACACTGCCCAGTTCTGTGCCATCCCCACAATCGTTGATATGTTTGAGTCCATTGTTGCAACCACTGTGTCAATCCATCTCATCAAGGGTCTTCCTCTTTTTCACTCTTATGAAGCACGATGTCCTTCTCTAGGGACTGGTCCCTCCTCATAACACATCCAAAGTATGTGAGACAAAGTCTACCCATCCTTGCTTCTAAGGAGCATTCTGGCTGTACTTTTTCCGGGACAGATTTGTTCATTCTTCTGGCAGTCCATGGTATATTCAATATTCTTCACCTACACCATAATTCAGAGACATCAATTCTTCTTTGGTCTTCCATATTCATTGTCCAGCTTTCCCATGCATATGAGGCAACTGAAAATATGGCTTGTGTCAGGCGTACCTTAGTCCCGAAAATGACATCTTTGCTTTTCAACACTTTAAAGAGGTCTTTTGCAGAGATTTGCCCAATGCAATACGCTGTTTGATTTCTTGACTGCTGCTTGTATGGGCATTAATTGTGGATCTAAATAAAATGAAATCCTTGACAACTTCAATATTTTCTACATTTATCATGATGTTGCTTATCTGTCCAGATGTGAGGATTTCTATTTTCTTTATATGCTACCTCCTGAAATGGTTGAACATCAACCAATTCTTTTTTCTTTTTTTTTTTAATTGTTGTAATTAAATGAAGTTTACATTTCAAGTTAGTCTCCCATACAAAATTTTTATACACACATTGTTATAAGACCCTAATTGCTCACCCCATTCTGCAACAGCACACTCCTCCTTTCCTCCCCTGATTCTCCATGATCATTCAACCAGCTCCTCCTAACTCTCTCTGTCTTCCCATCTCACCTCCAGACAGAAGCTCCCCCTTTGGTCTCTTGTATCTACTTCACTAAGAGGCACACTCTTCACAAGTATCACTTTATGTCCCACAGTCCAGTCCAATCCCTGTCTGAAGAGTTGGCCTCAGAAATTGTTTTAGTTCTGGGCTGATAGAGAGTCCAGCAGCCATGCTTTCCAGGGCACCTCCAGTCTCAGTCAGACCATTAAGTCTGGTCTTCTTACTAGAATTTGAGTTCTGCACCCCATCCTTCTACTACTCCATCAGGGAC